CCAACACACACACACAATTTCCCATTTCAAATGCATATAAAGACCCAGTACTCTTTGACCGAGGTCTAGGAGACATTCAAAACAGAAACCTTCAGGTAGCTGATGCTTACAAGGCCACTAAGCTGTTTGCAGGCTGCCTGCCTTGTGTTTCCGTGTAGTGCTCAGTGTTATCCCCTCACCCCCTGGCACAAGTGACAGTGCTAATACCAGTGTAAGTGCCCATGTGGCTGCAGCTCCCAGGAGCTCCTGTGCTGGGGCAGCACTGGAACAAAACTGCAAGACCAGAGACCATCCCTGCCTTGTAGAAACCAGCAGTCTGCGTTCACCCCTGGGTTACTCAGAGATGTGGTGCAATCTCCATCCCTGGAGGTTTTTAAGACCTGGCTAGACAAAGCCTTAGCTGGGATGATGTGGCAGGGCCTAGTACCACTTTGAGCAGGGGACTGGACTAGACGCAACCACCTGATGTGTGTTCCCACACCAATTATCTGCACCAGGGGGAAACACAGCCCCTTCTTACTTAACCTGAGTGTGGAAATGCAGGAGGCACAGCAGAACGGGACAGAGAGCTTCCTCCATCCCAGCAGGCATTTGAAGGGCGAGCAGGCATTGGGGAGCTAGGCTTGAAGGAGTCAGACAGAGACATGACTTAGGAGGAACCAAGCCGACTTCCCCACGGAGGGCTCTGTTTCTGCAGGCCCTGAGTGCTCGTGGTGCATGCAGCAGGGAGGACATTATTAGAAAGCAGAATTGCTTCTGGTGAGACTGAGCCACGCAGACACCCTTGCTATGAACAGCAAAGACATCAAGTACTGAAGCAGACTTGAATGAGCCAAAGGGATGTGGTTACAAGCTGGGACAGGTGTGACGTACAGCAGCTTTTTGGGAGGCCTTGGCCCCCGCCTTGATATGGTGGGAGCTTGCAGAGACATGACCAAGAGGCTTCTTCCATGCTGCAGACACTTCCACCGCAGTGGCTGCATGCTTCCTGCCTCGCGTTCCTTCTCCTCTGTGGTTGGGCACTGGCCATACAGGGTGCAGAGCGCTCACAGCAGTGCCAAGAGGTGTGTAAAGCTTCAGAGGAGAAAACCGCACACTGGTTCTGTTATCACTTTAGTAGGACATACCAGCACAGAGACAGGTGTGGAGTTGGGGGCAGGGGGGAGCTGGAGGATGGAGATGGCCACCCAGCACCTGCAGCTGCACAGTGAGGTGAATGGGAACATTGCACTTGGCCATGGCATGAGAGCTAGGGCCATGCAAGGCTTTAGACAGAGCTTCGGATCTGGAGAAGCTTCGGACACTTCAGGGTCCAAAGCAGCACATCTGGGTCAAAGTGCTGGCCTCATTAGGCTTCCTGAACCAGTGCAGGGGTTTGAGGGGAACTACACCCCAAATTCTTGAAAGCAAAACTCATCAACTATCATGTCTAGGCATTACAACATAGGGGGGTGAAAACTGCAGGGATGGTAGCCTATGCTGAGGCCACAAAGCCTGCCAAGTTTCAAGAAGATTGGTGCAGGGGTTTGAGGGGAAATGCCCCTCAAGCTGTGGACAAACAAAACTCATGCCATGGGTGACACTGTGTGCGCTAAGGTGCAGCGGGGTGACAGCTGCAGGGATGGTGGCCCCTACTGTGACACTGGCCAGCTGTGGAGGAGATCAGTGCAGGGGAGTCCTGGGGCCCTGCACCCCTAGCTGCTGACAGGCAAGACTCCTGCCATGGGTGCTTGTGGGGCTGACTATCTCTGTCTTGAGGGGTGGGAGACACTACTGCAGGCCTGGCTGCTAAGCTACTGTGTTACCAGTTATCAATCAATCGTGATTCACTGGGGACCAGCTCAATACACAGGACCTAGCTAATGTAGCCTGTTAATTGCCATCAATGAGCACCTACAAAACCAGGCTAAGGAGAGAAAAGAATCAATACAGACAATCAACTGCACATGGAGGTGGGAGGCTAACTCTGCATTACCCGGGTCAGGGTGCTACTCCACGGAGAAAGTGCTGCTTGCCACTAGGTGCGGGTCAAGGTGCGGCCAGGAAGCAGCCCAGAGCTGGCTCACCTGGGAGGGAGGCTGTGGGGGCGCTCAGCTTTGGCCCAACGAACTGCAGCTGCCTGGCTCCTCGACTGCCTCCCTGGCGGCCTTCCTGCCCGATCATGGGCGCTGCCCCCGGCGGATTGATACAAGAGGCACCAGGCAGTGCAGCCTGGACAGAGGCGGACACAGCTGGGTGCAGGGCGGGATTGCCTCTGAGCTGCGAGCAGGGAGGCAGGGGTTGTGGGGGCCGGTTGCAGGTTGGTGGCCCTGGGTCTGTGCCGGGCAGTGATGCAGTGCACACCCTGCATCTACGCTGCATCCCACTGGATCCAGCATGAGCCTTCCCTGCTCCCTCTGGAGCTGCCCCAAGGCAGGGACAGCAGTACCCCAAGTGCCAGGAGTGCCGAGGTGGCAGGGGAGCTGTTGTGCCCAGTGCCGCTATATTGGGTCTTGTACCGGGTACAGATACACGGGTGTCCTAAATTAGAAGCAAGTTTATTGAACCCTGTCAGATACATCCGTAAAGGAATAACGAAGCATTTTCAGCAGTTATAATTATAGAGCTGTACTTAGTGCAAAGCAAGAAAAGATGCTGACAACCTCAAGTTTGAACGGATGTGTTGTCACTGCCTGGCCAGTCCATGAGCTCCTTTCCGAGGTTCCCAACTCTTTCGTCTGCGATATGGATGTTAGATCGGCGACCAGATCGTTCAGGACTAGGTTCAGAAGGGTACATGCCCTCCCCTTTCTTTACATACCAAATAGCTTGCATTTCTTAATACAGAAAATCAACTTAAGCCTTCCTGCTAATGAATATTAACAATCATGGAATCATAGAAAATAAGGGTGCGAAGGGACCTCAGGGGTTCACATCTAGTCCAACCCCTCCTCAAAGGAGGACCACCCCCGACTACATCATACCAGCCAAGGTTTTGTCTAGCCGGGTCTTAAAAGCCTCCCAGGATGGAGATGGCACCACTTTTCTGGGTGATCTGTCTTGGTGTTTCACCACCCTCCTCATGAGCAAGATCTTCATAACATCTAACCTCAACTTCCCTTGCTGCAGCTTGAGCCCTTTTCTCCTTGCTTTGTCATCTGCCCCCACTGAGAACAGCCCAGCTCCATCCTCTTTGCAACCCCCCTGCAGGGAGCTGAAGTCTGCTATTCAACCCCGCCTCAGACTTCTCTTCTCTAGACTAAATATGCCCAATTCCTGCAGCCTCTCTTCACAAGTCCTGTCTCCCAGCCCCACAACCATTTTTGTTGTGATGTGCTGGACTCTCAGCAATGTGTCCATGTCCTTTCTGTAGTGGGGGGCCCAAAACTGGACCTACAAGAGCAGACTGCTGGCTCATATCCGTCTTCTTGCCCACTGTCACCCCAAGGTCCTATTCTGTGTAGCTGCTGCCCAGCCAGTTGGCCCTGTCCTGTACCGCCACATGGGATTGCTCCGTCCTAAGTGCAGGACTTTGCACTTGTCCTTGTTGCACCTCATGGGACTCCTTTTGGCCCAGTCCTCCAATTTGTCTAGGTCACTCTGAATCCTAGCCCTACCCTCCAGCGTATCTACTACTTTCCCCAGCCTGGTGTCATCTGCAGTCTTGCTAAGGATGCACTGCATCCCATCCTCCAGGTTGATGATGGAGATGCTGGCTACAAATGTCCAACTCGGGATCCTTAAAATTCTGGTTTATTAGGTGGATTGAAACACTGTAATGAAGTTAAATCATAAACCTTGGGGCTGTTCCCCCCCCCGACACACACACAGTAGCAAACTACATGAGTCAGGTATACCTATCCCACAGGTGCTGGAGTCTGTCATTGAGGCTTCTTTCAGCGTGGTGTTATCTTCCAGAAGGAGGTCGCTGGGTGGTCCTTCTGGCTGGACAGGTCGGGTGCTGGCCAA